TCCTTCCATCCATCCATCCATTCATCCATCCATCCATCCAGCCTTTCTTCCCTTCCTTTATTCTTCCATTTATCGTACCCATATCCGTTGATCCCATCTATTTACCCATCAATTCTTCTGCTATCTTTCAGCCTTATCTTCGTCGTCGCAAATACAAACTGTTCGGCTGTTTTCTTGAAGCTACAATGATTGCTTGTAAGGACATCCCCATACAGTTCGAAATCTCCATAGGTAAGAAACATAACTTTAAATTACTACCATTCGGAACCTAGTGCTTCTTGATCGTTTCAAAGTAAAAAAGCCATTTTTGTTAGGGTTAGTGTTTGCTTAATTGTTTGGAAGTCCTATCTCGAGGCTATTGTTATTTTAATCCTAGATATATTGGTTTTTAAGAAACCATCATGAACGCCATTCCTCTCCTCCCCTCCCCCTCCCCCTCCCCTTGGACCTGAAACTCATGTTATGAAACTTGTTGCAAATGTTGAAGAACGCACCAAACCCTGATAAGACGTTGACAGCAAGAAATCATCAGGGCATGCGCATGAAAATATTTCAACAGGCGGAGTTCCTGTGGCGAGGGGCTCTAACAAGAACAATTTGTTTGTTTGTATTGTGGGAGATTGGAAAGGGAGGTTGGACGCTGTTAATTGATCTATAGAAGTCCAATAGCTCCCTGGCATGTGACGTAAAAGCAGCTCAATTTGGAGGACAAGACAAAAGAATTCCAATCTCAYGAGGACTGGAAACCTATTGTAATGTCCTCTAAAGATACGGACACACGGTGCAACATTGCACGCAACAGGACTGTTGCAGCGTGTGTCTACCCCAAACTTGTTGCACGCAACGTTGCATGCAACAAATCTGAAGTTGAATCGCACTCTACTCTTGCAACATTGCGCGCAACAACTTTCATCGTTTAAAAAGGGCGGCAACATTGCGTGCAACATTTTGAAATTTCCAGCCAGTTAGCTTGCATTAAATTTATAACCGCTGACCAAATTTCTTAGCATATCAGGCTGACACAACGTGTGTCACCCCGATTCAAATTTGTTGCGTGCAATGTTGCACCGTCTGTCCTCGCCTTAATACCGAGCTACATTCCGACATACTGTAAGGGTTCTATTGCATAAAACTCTTTTTGCTTGTATAGGTAACTATGGTAACCGTCTCGACCAATCAGTGGCTCCCTCGTCTTCATCTACTCCTGCTACTAATGCAATATTCGATGGATGCTATTACTATTTTCTTCCGTGGGGAAGGAACAAACCTTGTTGTTCTGTGGATAGTCATTGGGAGGACATTTCTTTTAGATTGTATACTATGAACATCTTAAAACACATGGTGGAGAGATTGGTAAGTTGGTGGTGTGCTCCCTCAGTCTATCCCATGCCCTCCCCACCCCCACGCCCTCCGCTCCCATTGTATACTATGAACATCTTAAAACACATGGTGGAGAGATTGGTAAGTTGGTGGTGTGCTCCCCCAGTCTATCCCATGCCACCCCCACTCCCCTCCCCCATTGTATACTATGAACATCTTGAAACATGTTATGGAGAGCTTGGTAAGTTGGTGGTTAGTCTTCCCCACAGCCGCTTTCAGTGAGATTGGTAAGTTGGTGGTGTGCTCCCCCAGTCTATCCCATGCCACCCCCACCCCCCATCCCCCATTGTATACTATGAGCATCTTGAAACACATTATGGAGAGCTTGATAAGTTGGTGGTTAGTCTTCCCCACAGCCGCTTTCAGTGAGATTGGTAAGTTGGTGGTGTGCTCCCCAAGTCTATCCCATGCCACCCCCACCACCCATCCCCCATTGTATACTATGAACATCTTGAAACACATGGTGGAGAACTTGGTGAGTTGATTGTACTTCGGCTTCTGTCCCTTACTCCCCTCTCCCCTCGAAATTTTTGACTGTGTAAATGAATTGAAATGAATTACTTTTCCAGGAGGACAATATCGCCAGAGTGAAGATTGGTATGAAAGATAACTTGTCGACAGGAGAACTGGCCGCTCTAGTCATGGAGCTTCTTGAAGACTTGATCTTAGATTGCAGGTACRGAGTCTTTAAGGACTAGTAATTATTTAGAAGAGGAAGGCTTGGTGCAAATGAGGGGCTAATGATTTGCAAGTATACAGAGTATATAACGCTTCATAAAGAGTTGGAGAATATTGGGAATATTTATGGATGGCAGCTCGTTTTACGCCAATTGGAGGTTGCACGCGCAATGACTTTCTAAATTTAATTCCTGGTTTACTTGCTACTGATCTACTGGAAGTCTTTACTCTGAGATTCATAAAGTCGCGTGTGTGTAGGGGGAGGGGGTGAGTAAGAACTTTTCCCCATCCCTTTGACTCCCTAGAAGTTTTCATACCTTGAACACAGTTTTGCGCATAAATGAAAAACGCTTACATCACATGAAACTTCAATATCATGTGTTTAATCTCCTGTAGGAAGCCACTCCCGGAAGTAAATAACACAATACCTAACGTCAACGGGCTAGACATGAAGAGGTACAACATGAGAGAAAAAGAAAAGGTAACTAGTTCATTTTCTTCATTCCCTTTCATTTCCTTTCAACTTTTTGTTCATCTGATTTTCCAAAAAAAATTATCGCTCTGGGATCCTCACGAGTACCCTACATTTCATGTTCCGGCTGCGTTACCAGCGTGGTTGGTCCTTATAAAGTGTAGTGGTTAACACATCGGACTAGAATACCGAAGACGTGGGTTCGATTCCCTCCAAGGGCATTTGATATTTTTCTCTTATTCTCTCTAGCTATTTCATTACATACACCGAACGCATAATTTATCACTACTATACTATGATTTTCCACCTCATCATTTCTCACTATTATCTCTTCTCTATTTGCATGGATAGAAAGCGATCGGAGAAGCTGCGTTAAAACTACGAGAGAGTGCTACTGATATTAACGAAGCATTATCTGAAATCGAAGGATTTCATCAAAGACTCGAGAGATTAACTATAGAGGTAAGACAATCATAAGACAGTGTTCCGTACTTAATATCCTGGGCCCGGTTGCACGAAGAGTGGATAGCGCTATCCGGCGGATAAATCCTTATCCAGTGGATAAGTCGAAGCTGTTATCCAATACATTTATCCATAGATAAGATTTATCCTGGCGTCGGGGGATAGCGCTATCCATTTTTCGTACAACCGGGCCGTGCACACTTTGGGTACAGCCTTATTCCTCACTTTATCCTGAATCTGCCCTGTTTACAAACCCTTATCACCTTAACTTACCTTCCCTTACACTCTCGTGCTAGCTTTGCCCCGTGCTTGTGAAGTGACCAAACTTATTTACAACTGGAAGTGTTTTTCGAACTTAAGCACAAGAAAACGAAAATGTACCTATTGTATCTGGTGTGAACCTGAATTACTAGGGTTATGTTACTGCTCGTTTTAGCCACAGAACAGCATGCCTGATGTGATCATATGGATGCTGAGCGGTAGCAAGAGAGTCGCATACTACAGGGTTCCCGCAAACGAGATCCTCTACTCTAGCTTTGATAAAGCAAGTGGAAAGAATTGTGGAAAAGTACAAAACATTTTCATGAAGGTATGCAGTAAAACTGTTAGCTAATGATGAGAACTAAATGCATTGGTGTAGTACAGGAGTTGCCACTGCTTTCATTGCTATCTGCTGATGCGACAGTCACAGGCGCTTAACGAGGTTTCGATCATGGGGGTGGGGGTAAACGCAATTTTTCCCCGCCGACAAACACGTGTACTCATTCCATCTTTAGTGTTTCCCGCCATATCCACAGGTTCGGTAAAAAAAGTTTTGGGGGGGGGGGGGSCTTGCTATGCCACTGGGCATTTAATCAGTCTGTGTCTCTCTGTCTGTCTGTCTATCTGACAGTTAATGATGAGCGTTAGACCACCGTCAATCGAATACATCTTTCGAGTACGCAAAGGTTGCCTGGCCCATTTTCTAAGAATAAGATTCTTTGGTTGCATCCATATTCATGAGTCTTCTCATGTGCAACCGTTAAACAAAGAAATGATACTCTAGAGAATGACACGTAGCTTGAAATGGGAAAAAAGTGTTTTGACTTTATCCTTAATGTTGTTCCCCTATTAGTATCCTGGAGAGAAGCAGTTTGATATCGAGGACCATCCAGAAATCCCTTGTCAGATATCTGTCATCCTTTGGTTGGGGCTGGAGAAGGATCAGGAATCCTGGACCAACAGATCAGACACAGAAGGAGATTTCTGCGTGTTTGCTGAGACGGTTAGTTTGACAAATTGATCTACATGTTACATAAAAAATAATTATTGGATGCTCATTATATATCACATACTCTAGTATGAGATACTGATTGGATACTCCTCAGTATTCTCGTTGAAAAATCACGTGGGTGATATGATCCCTTTGCACGTGCTGATCACGTGCTGTTCAGATGCAGGACTCGTGGTCAGTTATCGAACATATCTTGTCAGAGGGCACTTAACACGTGGTTTAGATATCCATTCACAAGTGACTAATCACGTGATAGTTGAATACCCTTTGATAATTATCTGTTCACGTGATTAGTGGATATAAGTCACGTGATTTTTGACGACCCCTTGATTGACCCTCAAAAGTATCGTGGATGCGAAATTACAAAAGAAATCACACGTTTCCTTGTTGGGACTTTTTTGGCATTTCTTTTGTATTTCCATCTTTTTATTTCCAATTTTAAGCATGCATTGACTGCTGTGTTTTTGTATTCTTTAGTATGAGAACATGGCGAGGTTTCTTGGCAAATGGACGACTAAAGGAYTAACAAGACCTGCCTGGTCAGATGCTGAAGGGACGGTCAGTATTCACAGGCTCTATACCATAACCCGTCTTTGCTATATTCAAATGCTCTCATATGAAGATCCTGTATCATTCATTGTCTTTCTTCGTGTTCCAGGTGAAACTTCTAAAGGAAAACTTCGTCCTTCCCCGGGGATGGCGATGGGATGGTGACTGGTTTGTCAATCCCGAACTAAGGTAAAAACTAACTTTTCCAGTTAGGTCATAATTCTTTAAACCATAACCTTTAAAAAGCATTGATTAAAAATGTGAAATTATAATCAAGTGCGCCTTTATATATTTTCCCAAAACTACACTCATTTTTCTCAATAACTGTTTTATGCCTAAGACGAAACGAATTGAGAACAGTGCGCACTCAAAATTTAGAGAAACATAAAAAATATTTTTTCTTGTCCCAGTCTTATCTCCCTTTTTTATTCGTTTATCTTCACCACCCGCGTGGATAAAAGTTCATACGGCTTCAAATTTGGTTCAGCTATAAGCCAAAGGAGTTTTAACCTTTGAATATACAGTCCTTTGACTAAACGTTGTCGTTTGATCGGCTTCATCCCTACGCGCCTAGACCGAACAGGATCATGGGGATAATTAATTCACAGTTACTAGCTGCCGCATATGTTATCTAACACATCTTGAGCAAGTTGTACTGGACTGGAAATACTACATTTTTGGCTCTTATCCCCAAACAAGAGAATATTGTTATAGAATATTATARAATATTATAGAATTCATATTCTCTTGCCCCGAAAATAACCTATTTCGAAGCTACTATCTGTAGCCGGCGATAACTCGTCTGGACAGCGCTCAAGCAGATAATCTTTTACCTCCGGCACGTTGTCGATATTTGGGACATCCTTGATGGAAGATGATGTCAAACGGCTCTTGTTTTCCTTGCGTAAAACGCGAAGACAAATGTGCATTTTGCTCTCCATTGTGCGATTGTCACCGACTGATAGAGAACAATTAAATATTCATGCTAATTTACCCGTTATCCTTTTCGGTCTAGGTGCGTAGGGATGATCCGATCAACGACAACGTTTAGTCAAAGGACTGTATGTTAGTTTAGATATGATACGTCATTAACGTTAGGGTCTTTGGCCTACAAGCTTTATCTTCAATCAAATTTGCATTTGTCTTGAATGTAGTGTTGATATGTTTGATATTACTTGCAGTCTTACCTTCGAACCTGACACAGGACACAAGTCATATCTTGACGATGTGTTTGAATCTGAGTCTCGTTTGCCTGGTGATACTTGGGGACCTGCTTCAGTGCCGTGGACCGATAATGTATGTCATTATAATAGTCTTGTACTGCAGCATCACGTGATGGCGGCCATGACAGGAGGTCTGATTTACATGAGAAAAAATTAAATTTACTAGGGGTTGGGGTAAAAGACTCTATTGTCGTGCCTCCTGTCATGGTTGACATCACCCGATGGTCCAAAGCCTCTATTTGAGCGACTTTTGTACAGGTGGGAAACTTAGGCTGTGATTTTTAGTGGGTCTTAAAATAGCAAGGGGGTCTGGTTTTTTTTTGAGATGTTTAACAGTTTAATTGAGTTAGTCGTGAAAAAGAGTGTAAAGCTTATGGCAAGATTGTGGAGAAAAGTGGAAAAAAACTGTGTTGAACTAAGATAGTAGGCTGGAATAGAGTGCAAACAATATAACCGTGAAACTTTAGTAATACTAAATAGCACAATTTCATGGAAATTCCATTGTTTTCTATTGTTTAATTAGCACTATTTTGTACTATTTAGTAATTAGTGTTTCACGGATTAATTGTTTGCACTCTACCCCATTGGGTTTAAAAAATTCTAGCCCCCCTCATTTTCTTTTCATAGCCCCTCCTAGAACTTCTCAAGCTCAGCTCCTTACTTGTTATTTGACCAATTACCAATAACGTTTTGCTCATACTTCATTTTTTATTCTCGTTTYCTAAAGTATGGTAACGCGACTCATGGYCCAAACGAGATTGAATGTCCGGAAGACTGGGAATGGACCATGAAATGGACTGTGGATTGTAACAGAGCTGTCGATGAAAATGGTAATCCTCGCTCACTCCTTTTCTACCTTCCTCTCCCTCTTCTTCACTTACTTTCTCTCTACCTCCCTTCTTACCATACCCAAGCACTACCTCCCTTCCTCGCTCATCCACCTACTAACCCTATCAACCGTTAGTTCGTTTATTCATTCGTTCACTTGGGGCGTTTAGGTTGGGAATACAGCGTCCAACCTGATGCTGGTTCATATATMCCTGTTGAGAAAACCTACCATCTATACAGGCGACGAAGACTCGTTAGGAACAGGAGAATGATCCAATCACATGCGCCTAGAGATGATGAAGAGGTAAGGAGCCCTTGTTGTTTAAATCTTTGGTACTCCTTGAAATTCTTTTTATCTTCATGCCATCGCCAAAATGTTTTGCATACTACTAAGTAAGCTACAGCACAAACTAGAAGCCTAAAAATGAAATCACATTTTTGCAATAGTCCCTTTAACAGTTCCCTGCGCCATCTTGAAAGGTAGCCGTGCCTTTGCATTGAAGCGAGACGAACGGTGAGCTTGCAATGATAGAGACTTGTAAATAATTGTCCAAGGTGTTAAAAAAAGGTCTCTATCATTGCAAGCTCACCGTTCGTCTCGCTTCGATGCAAAGGCACGGCTACCTTTCAAGATGGCGTAGGGAACTGTGAAGGGGACTATTGAGTTTCTACATGAATGTTTTCCCACAGGAAATATCTGACCTRCTGGAAGAAGGTGGATGGGAGTATGCAACTGCATTCAAACTGCAGTTCCGCAGCAAAGAGCGCAAGGCGGATTTAGTACGAAGGAGAAGATGGCACAGGAGAATGATTCAAGAGGATCCAACTGCTCCTGCTATTTTCAGGCGCACTGGTATCGACGCTACTGCAGAGGTACTCGCAAATCAGATCACGTACGATAAAGCAACGCACAGATTCTAAAAGCAGCTTTAAGACTCAGACAAACATTGCATTCCGTTTAACCGTGTCAAGTGTTTAATGGAACCGATATTTTTTTTAAATACTAAAGTTAGAATTTATGACCTTACCACTGATGAAATAACATCTATCAGATTGAAGGAGTTTGACGACTGATTTTGCTTTGTTCAAAGCCTGAAGGAGGAAAAAAGAAAAAAGAAAAAGCAGACAGTACTGATGTACCGAGGATGATGATTGTGTTTGACAGTAAGTTTTTTCACTTTAAAAACCTTTTGCCGTCGAGTGAAAAGGCTAAACCTCGTGGTCAGGGGAAYGAGCCCCAAGGTACCCATTCTCAGGAAGGGGTTTACACTCAGCGAAGGGTCGCAGTCAAATGTCGCCTCGCCTGTTATAATTTTACTGGACCAGCTTTACTTCCTTCTCCCATAACAATAGTCCCTTTGAGAGTTTCCTGCGCCATCTTGAAAGGTAGTCGTGGCTTTGCATCGAAGCGAGACGAACGGTGAGCTTGATAGAAACCTTTTTAACACCTTGGACATATTTCAACACATGTCTCTATCACTGCAAGCTCACCATTCGTCTCGATTCGATGCAAAGGCACGGCTACCTTTCAAGATGGCGCCGGTAACTGTGAAGGGGACCGATTAGAAAACGACATGATACTTAATGCTAACTCAAGGCCTTTTTGTGCTTTCTCTATTGAAGCGTACGATTTAATTCAMGTCATTTTTTGTCAGGTCCCCATAAGTATCAGCTCCGCGTGTATCTCTTTCAAGCCAGAGATCTTTTGCCTGCAGACTCGGATGGACTTTCAGGTGAGAAGTACAAGTCAGGCTATCGCGCAACAGTAGTTTCAAGATGGGGATAATAAAACCCTTCTATAGGTCCCTTGCACTAAATACCTACCTGGGGATCAAAACAATGAAAAATAATAACATCAGAAAAGATTGCAATCCCCAAAAGAAGGAAATTATCTTGTTTTGTACTCCAGAATAGACCTCCTCGGCTCTGACGTAATGTTTTCCCATTTCAGACCACGTGTCCTTCCCTAGAGAATCATTTCTTCGTTTAAGGTTTGCGCTCGGTTGCACATGAGAAGATACATTAATATGGATACAACTCAAACAAAGAATATTATTGTCAAGGGAATGACACTTGGTCTGAAATGGGACAACATTACGCTCGAGCGCTCCAGAGCCGAGGAGGTCTATTAGTTCGAGGGGTCTCGATAGGCGGAGAAAAAAAGGCGTTTATCTGGTAAGAGGATAGACATAGATAAACTGACTCACGGGAAAACGGATGACAGGCAAAGAGAAGCGGAGAAGGCGCTGTTGTATCTTGATCGTTGTTGTTGGGATATGGTTCAATTCTTAACAAATTTGTGGTGTAATCCCTTGAACCAGGGACGTGTGTGGGAGATATAGGACATGAGGAATAACGAATAGGACTTCAAGCAGTACCTAGGATTTGATTAACAAAAGGCTTCTTACCTCTTAATCACACCTCCCTGCTTAAACACGTGGTGATTTACATAAAGGCGCGGAAACATGATGCGTTATCTCTTGCGAGGAAAATCTCACCATTTTTCCACCGATGCAACTTTAAACTTATTTTGCGCGCAACTTCGAAGTAATTTATTTACTTTTTTAAAAAATCTTTATTTTACGAGGGTAACATAATTAACCTCTCATTTATCTAACTAATGGCCTACGAAAACGAAAAGTAAAAACTATAAAACTTGAAAAATATATGAAAAGCTATACGATCTAACGATAAACAAGCAAATGAATAACTAGGCAGAAAATGGGCTTAACAAAAATAAAAGTGTAATTATAATTATGATAATTATCTAGTGACGTCACGCAGTCATATTTTCCCTGTCTTATTGTTTTTTTGTGCCTCAAGAAAACTACTCGATAAATGTTTAATGTTTTTTTTCAGATCCATACGCGCGGGTTGTTTTCCTAAACAATAGCCAAGTGACGCATACTATCCACCGAACGCTCTGTCCCACGTGGGACCAGACTCTTGTGTTTGAGGATGTCTTAATCTTTGGAAGCACAGAACTACTACAGTTAAAGCCCCCTGAAATCGTCATTGAACTTTTTGACAAAGATCAAGTGGTAGGTTTCAAAAAGGCTTAATATAGTGCGCTTATATTCTGCATCTCCAAACTAAGGCCTAGGGCAAACGTTGAACTTTCCATGCACCGAACTTAATTACATCAAAGAATGCCGCCTCATTTTCACCAGATATCCATTGTTTTTAATGAGTTCGGTGCATGGAAAGTTCGACGTTTGCCCTAGCCCTAAGTCTTACAGATATGGGTATCAACAAGGATAAATATGGTGTGCTCCTGTGTACATACTTTATATCATGTGTAGCTATATACTGTACAAGCAAAGGGTAGGTTTCAAAAGGGCTTAATAAAGTGCGCTTATATTCTATATTCTATATTCTATATTATATTCTATTATTCAGCCGTTAATCTTGGAGTTGTTTTTGACCAATGTATGACCGGGGAGCTCCAAGTTAACAATATCTGTAAATCATCTTACTTTCATTTGAGGAATCTGTCAAYTATCAGGAAATACTTAACCTCTCATGCTGCTCAGTCGGTTATCCATGCTCTTATTTCTTCTAAACTAGACTRCTGTAATGCTCTACTTTATGGACTTCCTAAATATGTCGTGGAGAGGCTGCAACGCATTCAGAACTCTGCTGCTCGTGTTGTCACCTTCACCAGGAAATTTGACCACATCACTCCTGTGTTGGTTGACCTGCACTGGTTGCCAGTATACTACAGAGTAATTTTCAAGATGCTGTTGCTCACCTACAAGGCCTTACATGGCCTTGCCCCAACATATCTGTCTGATCTTCTGTGCTATC